GGCGTCGGCGCGGTCGGCGCAAGAAGCCAAGTCCAGTTTGAGCCAGATGGTGACGGAGGAACGCGCTCACACAGATGCACTCGCAGGGCCGCAGCGCCATGGGAGGGCTCACGGCAATTCGAATTCGTCGACACACTCGAGAAAGGGCGCGCTAGCAGGCCGGTCGGGACGCACTCATATCGATGGCGGGTTTGATCAGGAATACAGCGCCTCTGGAGCCATCGCCTGCGGCGACTACGTACTGCGCGGTCTACGTTCGAGAAGGTCGCATCGCACGTGAGGCATCAGCTCTAGGGCCGAAGGGCATCCATGTCCCGGGGCGTTCAAGTGGGCCCAGTAGATCACAAGTCGATGGAGGGTCGCGAACCGCTTGGCGCAACCCCCAAGCGAACGCACAAAAACTCGTTTCCTCCTCATAAGAATCCTCGCCGGTCGCGGCGGGCACGGGGAGGCGCCTGGCAATGGGCGAAGCTTCGGGGGGGGGCCCACCCCATTCCATGGAGACGAAGGTGGCACGCATCTCCCCCTCGTCGCATTGCCGAAACCGCTCGCCGATCAATCGGGCCTCAGATGTCGCGGAGATCGGACGCCACGGGGCGCCGCAACAAAATGTCGAGATCTTCGCCGAACCGTCGGGCCCAGGGGCGAACCTCGGGACAGTCGCGGAGCAGCCCCGTCTCGGCGAGGGCAGCCTTCGCATCGGAATCGGGGCCAGCCCCCATCGAACCTGCATCGCCCGAACACAGCCGAGAGAGAGTGGGCGCGGTGATCTGGTTCGGCGGCGATGGGGTGCCAGGGGCAGAGTCGTCGGATTAACCGTCCGATGACAGTCGGGACGACGTCCAATTCCTCGAATACCTTCTTGCGCGCGAGCGACGAGTGGACTTCGTCGGCAGATACCTCGCGGGCCGCCCCTAGGAGAGGAGCGCGCATCTTCTTCGTCAACGATCGCCACCTTGGAGATGAAGGCCACTCTCTTGCAGCGGAGGGGCCCAGGGGCAGCCCAGAACTCACTGAGATTACACCAGCCAACACTCCCAGAAAGCATTCACGCGGTGACTTCTTCTGTGCTGGACTCGTTTATGTGAATGTAGCCTCCGAAGCGGATCAGGTTTGCAACGGCCGCGCCACCGGCCACTTCTCCCCACGCGTCGTGCCCTGGGCACGACGTAGATGCACGAACAGCTCCCACGAACAACTCCGGCTCGCCGGAATCACCCATGCCCCCCCTCCCCAAGCCGAACACCGATGGGCGCGTCCGCCGCGCCGATGCGGACCACCGCCACCGCGCGATGCAACCCCAGCGCCAGCGCGCGAACTGCTCCGAGGATACAGCCCGAGCATCACGCAGTCGAAAAGCAAGGCCAGTACCAAGCGCATTCCGCACATCATAAGACATAATCATGCAAGCGAAACCTTGGCGTCGGAGCTTCCAGTCGACGATTTTGAGAATGGGCATGGGGGGCTCGCGGCGACGATTCCGAATGCCACCGCACGCGCACTCTGCGAGGGTAGACTCCGGGCCGCACACCGTCTCAGCGAATATTAGATAGAGGCGCCACCGTGGGAAAAATGGATCGTCCTCAGACAAGCAGTGATTTCTCGCGCGGGGTCGCCCGTCGGCGCATAGCTTTCATGGGCACGGGGGCCCAGCGGCTCGTCGCAGCTGGTTTCGGCAATCGTTTCGCGCGCCGAACGTGCGCGGGCAACGAGAGAAGGACCGCGGAGCCCTCGGCAGCCACGTCGTCGGAGATGGCGCCCAGCTTACTCTCGTCGGGGCGTCGCATCCTGATTCGGGCGTTTCCCCATCCAAGGCCAGCATTGCCCGCGGGCATCTGGAGGGGGGCATAGTCAACATCACCGTGTCCGATGCCACTTCGCGCGATGCCTGGTTCAGCTAGGGCCCGGGGGCTGAGCGCGAGCATCGCGAGTTCCACGGGCCAACTCCAGGGGGGGCAGCGCCGACTGCGTCGCCGTGCCCAGGCCCGCCCCCCCATGAACCGAAGGTCACCTAGAGCCGACGGGGCGGGCGTCGGAGGGCGGGGTGGCGTCGAGGGCGTCGGAGGGCGGGGCGGCGAGGAGGGCCTCGACTGCCTCGCTGCCCCGCAGCCACGCGCTGTCGTGAATTTCCCCGGCCGATACCCCCCGGCTGCACCCCGAAGAGACACCGATGCCGAGGGGGCGGAGGGGCGCGCTGCAGAAAGTGCAAGGTGCGGGCGTTTGCGCGCGCCCATGCGCGTGCCCGCTCGTAGTCGCACTAGCTCCGCCGCGCGTGCTGTCTCTCGTCGTGCCCATGCTTCTCGGAGCTCAGATGCAATAGAATACTCCCACCAATCATCTCTCCACCTCAAAAACTTCTTCATGCTGCATATGACCTGCGTAATCTCGATAGAAAGAACACGTGAACCCTGCTCGCGTAAACGCGCGCGCTGTAGGAAAAGTGCGATGCGCTCTGCTCGCGCATGTTTAACCAATTGCGGCGCACTGTGGCGTGGAATAATACCCCCCAGCCGCGGAACGCATGATGCGACTGACTTCCGCCGCGTGCCTCGCGAGGTGATCGCCCTCGTTGATCGCGTCTAGGATAGGGGCGGCCCGAAAAATCTTCCGCGCAGGTCCACGAGAACTTCGCGCCTACCTCATCCGATATGTAGTCCTGCTGCAACCCGCCCCCAGTCCGAGAAACAAAATCCCAGGTTCTGAAGCGATGGAGGGGCGGTAACAGTGTCGTCCGCGGCCATGGGCCTGCGATCTAGCATTTGCGGGGTTACCCGTAGTCTGCGGCGGCTGCGCCAGCACATGACCACGCGGGCGACGTAACAACGACTGGGGCACAGTAGAATAAATAGTTGTGAGCGCGCACCACCGTTGCCGCAGAAAGAAAAGCCAATACCATAGTAACTGGTGGCCGCTGCTAAGTCGTGCTAAAGAAGTCTGAGGCGAACGAGTTTGCCCACGAAACTCCCAGCTGCTGCTTGGAAGGGGCCCACGGCTTCGCCGTCTGTAACAACCCCGTCCTGGCACCCAAGGTTTATGTTCAAGTCTCCAAGGAACATTGGGACGACCGTGGACGGCGTGCCATTAAGTTCGTCCATGACCCACTTCAGCAAGTGTTGGTAGACGGCGTTTCACTGACGAACGCGTGCAGCTGCTGATGGACGCGGCTGGAAGTACACAACAATAAACCGAGCTCTGAACAAAAAATGTTCCTCAAAGACTCTCACAGAGCCCAATGTCCCCTGGAGTTCGGCGGGGTGTGTGTGTGCTGATTTCGATGATGTCTTTGGCCCTGAAAAGGCTCGTCGAGAGACCGATCGAACATCCCGCCGACGCGTTGGTCATACTCCCCCGAGCCCATCCAAAATGTACGAAGAGGTGCCGGTGAACCTTCTCACATGGATGGGGGGTCCCAGGCCTGGCGCGGAGCTTGGCCCCAGCCAAGAGCAGCACACCTGTGCGGGCGAAAGCGTCGGAGACCTCCGTGACCCGACCCGTGCCCGTGAGTGTGAACGGGCTCCACCCCCCGACACGCAGCTTGGTGGCCATGGCGCGCGCGCGCATGTACCTGCTGTGCGGGGGGGGGGGGAGGAAGGGGGCGGAGGGAGATGCAGCCCATGATGGCGAGAGGTGGTGACAGAAAGAAGAGGATCAGGATGAAGTGGAGTGCCCCCTGTTCGCCCTGAGTTATTTCCCGCCCATGCTCCTCCTCCTCCTTCTCCAAAGGACCCCTGGGGCAGCTGAGGTTCTTCCTTCGCTCCCTTCTCCTCCCAGGATGACATTTGAGGGTCTGGGGATATTTTCTCGGGGGCCTAAGGGCCCAAGAGGCCTCTAAGCAGCGCTCGTACCACCAACAACAACCAACAAACAAACAAACAAACAAACAAACAAACAAACAAACAAACAAACAAACAAACAACAGCAACAGCAACAGCAACAGCAACAGCAACAGCAACAGCAACAGCAACAGCAGCAACAACAACAACAACAAACAACAAACAACAAACAACAAACAACAAACAACAAACAACAAACAACAACAACAACAACAACAACAACAACAACAACAACAACAACAACAACAACAACAACAACAACAACAACAACAACAACAACAACAACAACAACAACAACAACAACAACAACAACAACAACAACAACAACAACAACAACAACAACAACAACAACAACAACAACAACAACCAACAACAACAACAACAAGCAACAACAACAACAACAACAAGCAACAAATAACAAACAAACAAACACTAAGCAGAATCCGGGCCGCGGACCCCCACTTCACCCACGCAAGCAGGGATGGTGCAAGACCGTTCGGCCCCCTAACTCAGCATAAACTTTCAGAGGTCCGCGCATTTCTTGGATAGGCACTCATCCCTCTCCCTGGCACGCGGACCGCGCCAAGGGTGGCGCCGCCATGGGGGCTCCAGCGTCGATCCGAGGAATCGAAATCCGCGCGCCGACCTCCGAAAGCTGTGTTCGGCCGGCCTCGACGACTCCAAGGCCCTGCCGCACATGCCACATGGCAAGGCGAGGCGGGCACCACGGGCGACGGCGATCCCGAGGCGGCGAGGGCGACACGACGGCGAAGGCGGTGGCGGATAGCGATAAACAAACTGAAGCGGGAACTGACGTGGTGGAGCGGGCGTCGCTGAGGCTATCCAAGCCCTGGCCAGGCCTCGGAAGAAGCTGAGCGGCGGGTGCAAAGCACCTGCAAAGAAAAGGGAAGGAGGCCTGAGTGTAGAGTAGGCCCTGCAGCGAACGCACACGAAGAGGAGGACACGGAGGAGGAGGAAGTTTCTTCCTTGACCTGTCCTGTCGTGTTGCTTCAATCGACAGGTGAGACAAGACATCCAGCGAAACGTCATTGCGCCGAGGATGCTTTCCCTTGAGAATTCTGCACTTACATCTCTCAGAGTTGTTTCTTGTCGGAGAGGAGCGGCAGAGAGGGCTCTCGCTGCCGCCTGCTCGCTCGCCCCGTCCCGTCAGGCGCGCCCGAAGCTCCGCTCGCCCAGCGCCGTCAGCAGCTTCACCCGCAGCACGCTGGGCGAGCCGTAGCGGGGGAGCACCAGCCGATTCACGCAAGTGTGCGCGTGCGGCAGGCGCTCCGGCGACGCCACGTCGCACACGGCCAGCTGGAAGCGCGGGGACAGGGCGGCGAAGCCGCCGGGCGGGAGGCGGCCGGAGCCCGTGGCGAAGCGCAGCAGGTGCCGGCGCTGGCCCTCCTCCTCCAGCGTCTGCATCGGGTGTTGCCACAGGTGCCCCTGGGCCCAAGGTGTCCGACGGGGGCCCTGGGACACACAAGTAAACAGGCACAAATCCCACCAGCCCTCTGGGCGTCGGTGGTTTAGAGCGTTTCCTCTTCCAACCCTCCTTCTTCCCCTTCGGGGAGGGGTTTACCCCTCCCCCTACCCCCTCCCCTGGACCTGGACGGGGGGGTCCGCGGGTCATTGGGGCGTCCAAGATGGCCTCGGCGAGGAAGCCAAAATCATTGATTTTACAAAGGTTTTGGCCACATTTTGGCCTCCTGGGGGGGCAACACTAATTCCCACCCCCCCCTTCTTTGATAGATCCCCTCCAAGATGGCCCCAAGAAGCGCCCAGGAGGCCCCAAGATGGCCCCAACATGGCCCCAAGGGGCCCCCAGGAGGCCCCCAAGAGACCCCCAAGAGGCCCCAAGAGACCCCCAAGAGGCCCCAAGAGGCCCCAAGAGGCTCCCCGAGATACGCAAGAGGCCCCCAGGACCGCCAAGAGGCCCCAAAGACGGCCCAAGAGGCCCCCAAGCTCGCCATTGTCTTCCTCCTCCTCCTCCTCCTCCTCCTCCTCCTCCTCCTCCTCCTCTTCCTCCTCCTCCTCCTCTCCTCCTCCTCCTCCTCCTCCTCCACCTCCTCCTCCTCTCTGCTCCTCCTCCTCCTCCTCCTCCTCCTCCTCCTCCTCCTCCTCCTCCTCCTCCTCCTCTCCTCCTCCTCCTCCTCCTCCTCCTCCTCCTCCTCACCTCCTCCTCCTCCTCCTCCTCACCTCCTCCTCCTCCACCTCCTCCTCATCCTCCTCCTCCTCCTCCTCCTCCTACCTCCTCCTCCTCCTCCTCCCTCCTCCCTCCTCCCTCCGCCCGCCTCCTCCTCCCTCCTCCCTCCTCCTCTCCACCCCCTCCTCCTCCTCCACCGCCTCCTCCTCCTCCTCCTCCTCCTCCACCTCCTCCTCCTCCTCCACCTCCTCCTCCTCCTCCCTCCTCCTCCTCCTCCTCCTCCTCCTCCTCCTCCTCCTCCTCCTCCTCCTCCTCCTCCTCCTCCTCCTCCTCCTCCTCTCCTCCTCCTCTCTTCTTCCTCCCTCTCCCCCTCCCTCTCCTCCTCCTCCTCCTCCTCCTCCTCCTCCACCTCCTCCTCCTCCTTCTCCTTCTTCTCGTCCTCCACGTCCTCGCCCTCCACCTCTCTCCTCCTCACACTTCTCCCCTCCTCCCCTCCTCCACCTCCTCCTCGCCTCCCCTCCTCCTCCTCCCCTCCTTCCTCCATCCTCCTCCTCCTCCTCACTCCTCCTCCTCCTCTCCTCCTCCTCCTCCTCCTCCTCCTCCTCCTCCTCCTCCTACCACCTCCTCCTCTCCTCCTCCTCCTCCCCTCCTCCTCCTCCTCCTCCTCCTCCCCCTCCTCCTCCTGCTCCTCCTCCTCCTGCTCCTCCTCTTCCTTCTCCTACTCCGACGAAGCCGACGACTCCTCCTACATCATCCTCCTCTTAGGGGTATATGGCGGCTTACCCCGCCCTTTGTTCTTCTGCATGCTCCCCGGCTTCCCTCATCACCTCCACTCCCCTGGGGCTCATTTCTGGACGGGCTGGTGGGGATACGCGAAGCGTTTAGAATAACAGGGTTCCCCTATGTTTTCCCATATCTTCTGGGTTTTTGTCTTCCCCCCCCCCACTTTCCATGTTTTCCCACCTTTTCTGGGGGGTCGACGATTCAGCCCAGGCGGCCTCCAGAGCACCCCTCGAGAGGTTCAGAGGGCCCCAGTAAGGCTTCAACTGGCAGCGATCCTGGGGGGGAAGTTCGGGGGCGGCCAAGAGGGGGGCGTCCAAGAGGGGGGGGCGCAAATCATGGCCGGCGGCGTGTGCGCGGCCCATGGGGGGGAGCCAGGGACGTAATGAAATAAGAAGAGGCGCCATGAAATCTGGGGGAATATCATGGCCCACGTCATGATATCCACCCCCCCTAGTCATCACCCCCCTCTTGGTCGCCCTCGAGAAGTGAGACGGGGCGGGCCGTCTCAGAAGGCTCGGAAGTCCCCCAGCCTTCCGAGAAGTTTTCTGAGCCTTCCCCGAAGGCACGGAAAACCTCTCAGAAGGCAAGGGGGCTTCTGAGAAGTCCCGCCGCCTTCTGGGAGGGCCCTCTCCTTCTCGATTCCCCCCCCCCCCCGCTCGCCGCCGATCCAGGGCCAGGGGCACCTTTTGGCAGCACCCGACTGGACGACGTCCCAGAACCAGGCGGCGACCTGCCCGTCCGCGCCCTCCTCGACGACGCTGCACCGCCGCCACTCGGAGACGTCCAGCCCCGCCGCGCCGGCCAGCAGCGAGGCGATGTCGCCCTCGGAGAGGCCGGAGGCCTGGAGGACGTCCAGGGGCAGCACGTCCCAGAAGCCCTGCAGCAGGCACTGCAGGTCGTGCCGGATCTCGCTGCACAGGAAGGCCTCGCAGAGCAGCTGCAGGTACTCGGCCACGTTCTCCTGACTACCGACCAGACCACCCCAACCCAACCCGAAGGCCCGACTTTCGGGTTGGGGGGGGGTAAGGGTTCCACATGTGTTTTCTCGATGTTTCCCGACCCCCCCCCCCCACTGGAAATCGATGGTAAATCTGAACTTTCGGGTTGGGTTGGGGTGGTTTGGTGGGTGGCGATCTCCTCCGTCACCACCCGGGCCGAGCCGCCGGGCACGAGCTCCTCCGCGGGCCGCCGCTCGGTGGGCACCGAGAGGAAGGCGAGCGGCTCGACGAGGGCCCCGTTCAGCGCGGCCAGGCCCCCGGGCACCAGCAGCGGGGCGACGCGCTCCCGGTAGAAGGCCGGGTCCAGCAGCTCCACGTCCGCGAGGCCCACGCTGCCGCCCAGGATGTACTTGCAGATCAGCGGGCTGATTGGTCGGCGGCGCGCACAAAGGGGGTACACCCTGCAAAATGCTTAAGAAATCATGGGTTAAGAAACTCATAGTCTCAGATCTTGAATAAAAAACAACATTTCTATTAAAATCTTAAGATTTACATTGAAACGTTAAGAATAATCGAGACTCTGGCCGAAAACTTAAGTTTTCTTAAGCATCGCCTAAGGTGTAGGGGGGACAGGGGGAAGCAGCTCCTCAGAAGGAGGCGGCGTCTCAGGAGGCGCCGGCCCTGCGTCTGCAGACGCGGCCCGCGCCTCCCGAGAAGCAGGGGGGCTTCTCTGAGAAGCCTTCGCCCCCCCCTCCCCCCCTATCATTGGGCGCCCGAGTTATCCGGGGTAACTCGGGTCCGGGGTAACTCGGGCTTGGACTCCCGAAAAGCGAGCCCGAGTTATCCCTGACCCGAGTTGCCCCTGATGATTCGGGGCTCTGACATCATGCCCCCCCCCCTTCTGCGCGCGGCCGAGATGGGCAGCGTGAGCGGCCTGCCGCCGTGCACGACGCCCAGCGCGAGGAAGCGGCCCGCGGCGAGGAGCTGGCGCCCGCGCCTCAGGCGCCCGTCCTCCTCGCCCTGTCCCCGCGCGCCCACCGCGTGCGGCCGCGGGATCAGCATGCGGCTGCTGAGGCCCAGGGCGAAGAGGGAGCTGCTGTCCGCGTCCTCCGCGCCAGCGGTGAGCTCCCGGCCCACGGCGTCGAACCAGTCGAGCGCGAGGCCGCCGGCGTCCACGCCGTCCTCGCCCACGTAGGAGACCAGCAGCCGCGGCGCCAGCAGCTCGGTGTCGGGGGCGCTCAGGAGCGCGCTCCAGCTGTCGTCGAGGAGGCTGCTGCGGCGCACCTCCAGCGACATGGCGTCGGGCAGCACTGCGAACTCGAATCCCTCCTCCAGCTTCGCCTGCCTCGCCAACAGCAGTGCGGCGTGCCGTGCCTCCAGCTGGCGGAGGTCCATCTCGGGCAGGACCTCAACGTTGTTCAGAAACTGGTCGGAGAAGCTGCGCTTCGGTGGTCGAGCGTCGAAATCGGGGTCACCGTCAAGCTCATCGGCGTTATCCTCTGGCCCGCTGGTCTGCCTCAAAAAATCGTTGCGCTCGATTTTGGCCCGAAAAGGGCGCTGGAACGCACGGCGCACCTCAGCCTCCACGAGCATCTTCGCATGCCACCTCCTAAGCCGGATACCCAGAATGGCATACACGCCCAGGAACACCCAGGTGTGCACCAGCGCGGTTGCGATCCACTCCGAGGCAGAGAGCTTTGACAACGCTCTCCTCCCCCCGCGGAAGACACCAAGCCAGATCCATAGCCGGCAAAAGACGAAGTCCACGATGTTGAGGACGATCTCTGTCAGCACCGCAAGCAGCGGAAGCAGGAGCCGCATGGCTCGAGTAGGGGATCGACCACAAAATTGTTTTGTCCCACAGTGTGGTTTGCTCGCCGACTCTACAAACCATAGCAGGAGAGCCCGCTGATCTACTAGGATTCCACATCGACGTGTCGTAGACGGGGGGAACTCGTTAATTTTAGGAAGATGAAATCAGTAGTATGAGCATCGTTTAACCGATCCCCATCCCCAGCGGCGTGGCCTGGGCCCCACTGGCCGACTTACCCCCCTGGATGGGGATATGGGCCGTCCCCCTCGGGCCTCGAGGGGTGCATCCCCCACTGGGGGGGGGGCCATTTGGGGGGGGGGGCCTCGAAGGGGATAGGGGATAGGGGACGGGGATGGGCGTCGGGGAAACGAGACTCGTCGTCGATCTCCTGCTCGGATGGCGATGGCGACCAGCTCCCCGGGGTCGAGCACCAGGAACGGAGCCTGACGGGCCTGTTTTCCACCACCACCACCATAAGCTGGAGAGGGGAAGGAGGAGGAGGAGGAGGACGAGGAGGAGGAGGAGGAGGAGGAGGAGGAGGAGGAGGAGGGGGAGGACCCCCTCCCCCTCCAATTTATGGTGGTGGTGGTGGTGGAAAACAGTCCCAACAGAGCCAGCACCGCCAGGAGCCACGCGCCGCTCGGCAGCTCGAGGCGGCTCGCGGCGAGGCACGCGGCGGCGGCGCCGACCACGTAGGCGTCCAGGACCACGTCGGCGAGCTGCCACACCCACCTCGGGGCTGAATGAAGGGGCCCCAGGACACACAAATAAATACACACAAATAAAAAGATCCCCCATATTTTCCCATATTTTCTGGGTTTCTGTCTTCCCCACCACTTCCCATATTTTCCTATATTTTCCTGGGAATCGAGGATTAATTGTGTCTGTGTGTTTTTTTCCCTCCTGACTGAACCTCCACGGTGCTTGTCGTTTTCGTTTTCTTCTCGCCTTCCTTCGTTCTTGTCTTGTCGCCGACTCTGCCGCAGAACGAGGTCGAAACGAGAACGGCCCACGGCATCGCCAAAAAACACCGTTTGGGCCCAGCCCCGGCCCACCTCTCGAAGGTCCCGACCCTGCCAGCCTGGGCCAGGAACACGGTCAGCAGCAGCCACAGGGACGAGCGGCGCGCCCCGAACCTCAGCAGCCTGCGCGGCACGAGCCAGGAGCCGCTGGCGAGCGCCAGCGCGTCAATCATGGGAGCGGCAGCAGGCGGCAGCCAGTGGCACCCGGAGGTGCATGTGCTGGGCGGCGCCGTGCCGCGGGGCGGTCGGCGAAGAGCCGTGCCCCGCCGGCCGAGCGAGCTCCCCGGCGAGCCAGCCCGCAGCCGCGCCGCGCAACCAGCTCCATCCGGCGCGCCCGGGGCGCCAGGGGGTGACCAGCCTCGAACGTATCCCTATCCCTGAGATTGACACGCCAAAGGGCGATGACAATCCTGGGGATTCGCCCTCAAAACAGAAGGGAATCCCTGAGATTGGCATCGTGATGCGGAGGTGCCCAGCATCGGGATAGGGATATGTTCCAGGCTGGTAAAGGGGGTGCGCGTGACCTGTGAGCGCAGTGGCACGGACTCAGCGGATACGGAGCACGAGCGTCGAAGCGAGGCGGCGCCAGAGCCGTATCCAAAAGCAACGCCGGGGCAGCTTGGCCAGCGAGACCACCAGGACATTGGGCCAGCGGCACCTCGGTGAGGCGTCGTCGAGAACTCATCAAGCAACTGCCCCCAGACATTTTGGCCAACGGGCCTAGGACGTTTATGTTGAAATCCGCCGGCCCCGTCGGCGTGTGTGAGGGGCTTGTCTTTTCGAATCGTCGTCTCCGTTGGGTCCGTCCTCCCGTTTCCCTGCACCCTCCTCCTCAAGCCTGTCAGCGAGAGAACAATCTAGCAATGTCATAATCGGTCCGACGGGAAGCCCCTTCCCTTTGATTCCCTCTCCGTCGGGAGGGGGGTCCCAGGGGGTGTCCTGGGGCGGGTCACGGGGGTGTCCCAGGAGGGTCCCGGGGGGGGTCCGTGGGGGGAGGGGGTGGGGGTCAAATACGCATCCCCCCCCTGGGGATCCCGGGACCTCAGAAAGTACCACGACAGGCCACGAGTGCCCCAAGAGGCCCCCAAGACGGTCCAAGAGGGTACCCAATCGCCAAACGATCGGCCCAAAACGCCTTCACGCCCTCCAGACTATTCAAACATGCGTCCAAGACGCCCCGAGAAGCCTCCAAGAGCACTCCCGAGAGGGCCCCAAGAGGCAAAGATAAGTGATGTTCCTCCAGATTTTGAAAGACTGGGGCGTTCTCGGCTTTTCCTCTTCCCGCCGCTTCATGACGTCCCAAGAGGCCCCCAAGATCGCCCCAAGACGGCCCAAGAGGCCTCAAAGAGGGCCCGCAAACAGGGCGAGGATCCCTTTCGTATTCATATTGCCTTCGGTTACTACTACTTATCTGACCCGGCAAGTCGTATCCCCAATTGCTTTGTTTCCCTGTCATGTCTGAGCTCGCGGCTAGATGATGTTTAGAAATGCCACGTCCAATTTGCCAACGTCCCCATCAGTGGCACCGCGTGCCCACCAGACTATGTTTGGTTGCCTGGGCGATATCATTATTCCAGATAACTTGTCATCGCGTCGCGGTTAGCTTGCAGGCCAGCCTTGACGAACTCACGCTCACCTTGGTTGTACGCGGTCAGACATTGACGCCCGCAAGGTTATATTGCATCAATGATTGCCGCATGGCGGGGGCGGGTATTGGCACGCCTGCTCTCACTGCCATTACCTCGCTCTGCTACCATGTAAGCTTACCAGAGCGATGGCAATAAACATTGAGGCCTGTGTTGTAAGGAAACGGCGCTGGAAATACGAAGCTGTGTCACACCGCCTGTCTGCGGGAATGATGACTTGAGGCAAGTGTCACGGGTTGAACAGTTATCTGAGGACCTACATTGAAATACCCTCTCCTTCTCCTGCTCCTCACCCCTCCTCCCCCTCATGACCCTCCTATTCCTCCACATTTCCTGGATCTTTCCCTTCCCCCTTCGCCCTCCTCGCCCTTACACACACCCTCGTCCTCCTAAATCATATTTCCCTCCCCCTTTCTCCTGCCCCACCCCTCTGGCCCCCAATGCGACTCGCACCGCCGCTAAGCCGCGCGCTCGATGGGAAGTCCCCTCCTCGGCCTGCGCTGGGGGCGTGGTCAATCGCTCGGTGGACAAAGAACGCATGATCGTTCGCTCATTCGTCAGATTGGCACTCCGCTTACACCAGATACGATGCGATACTCCGAGGGGGAGTATGCTAAGAGGGCAGACGTGCGGGTCAAACGGTCCCTTACAATGGAGAGGATATAACGGAACGCTGTCGCTTTGGAAACATACAACTACACAAACACACACACACACACACACACACACACATTTTCGTTACAATACATTACACCGCAATGCAATACATCGGGAGGGCACGCCGCTGGATGACCCCAAGGGGAGGGGTTGGGACCCCCCCCCTTTCCCCGATCCGTCGTCGGGGACCCCCCCCCCTCTCCCCCCCTTTCCCGATCCGTCGTCGGGGACCCCCCTCCCCCCTTTCCCGGTCCGTCGTCGGGGACCCTCCCCCCCTTTCACAAGGGAAAATAAAATCAGTGAAATAAAAAAAGTATAAAAAAAAAAAAAAAAAATAAAAACTGGGTGGGTCCGAACCCCCCCCCCCTCCCCCCCTTTGGCTGCCAAATTCGAACCCCCCCCTCCCCCCCTTTCGCCACGGCGCCCCTGGTCTCCGGAACCCGACCCCTACCACCCCTAATACCAATCCTCACCTTTGCCGTAACCCCTAACCCTAGCCACAAACCCAAACCCTAGCCCCAAACAGTACTCACTACTCATTACGCACTACTCACTACCCAAAATTCACTACTCGCTACTCACTACTCACTTCTCACTACTCACTACTCACTACTCACGACTCACTATTCACTACCCACGACTCTCTACCCACAAAGCATCACTCACTACCCCCTACTCCCTACCCACTACTCACTACTTACTCACTATTCACTACCCACTACTCAAGAGTCACTACTCATTAAACACAACTCACTACCAACTACTCGCTAATGACAAATCACTACTCACTACCACTGACCATTATCCAATACTCACTACTCACACGTCACTACTCACTACTCACTACTCACTGCCCACAACTCACTACTCACTACTCACTACTCACTACTCGCTACTCCCTACTCCCTACAGACTACTCACTACTCACTACTCACTACTCGCTACTCCCTACGCCCTACTCGCTACCCAATACGCACTGTTCACTACCAATTACTCACTACTCACTACGCTCCCACTACTTCCTACTACTTACTCACTACTCCCAACTCACTACTCACTACCCACAACTCAATACTCACTACTCACTAAACCATACTCACTGCCCACTACTCACTACTCACTAAACACTACTCACTACCCAGCAACCGCTATCCACTACTTACTACTGGGAACTCACAATTCACTACTCACTACGCACTGCCCAGAACTCACTACTCACTATCCGCTACTCGCTACCCAATAGGACATATTCACCACCCATTACGCACGACTTGCTACTCACTACTCCCTACTCCCAACTCCCTACACACTAGTCACTAGTCGCAAGTCGCTACTCACTACTCACTAATCACTAATCACTAATCACGACTCACTACTGACTAACTTCTACTCGCAACTCCCTACTAACTACCGACTACTCGATACCCACTTCTCGCTTAGAGAACGAGCAAGCCCACCGGCGGATCGGTCGGTGACGAGTTCGGCGATCGCAGAGCGTGATCGTTGCGAGAGAACAGTAGAGCCCTATCGTGCGGATGCGCGACCAGATGCAATATCCTTGGACGCTCAACTCACATCTGGCTGAGGACGTGCCGAAGAGGCATGGTTGCAGGGGCATATTGGGTAAATCACTCGTCCGCTAATTGCCCTTGAGTCTCTCAGGAGGGGAAAACAGTGGAACACAGAAGAGGAAGGACAACGACGAGTCAGGATCTTCCTCGTTATCCTCCGCTCCATGTTCCTTCCCCTCATGATCACCATCGTAATCATAATAATAATCATCATCAGCAGCATCATCCTCATCATCTTCAGCATCATCACCACCACCGTCATCATCATCATCATCATCATCATCATCATCATCATCATCATCATCATCATCATCATCATCATCATCATCATCATCAGCAGCAGCATAAGTATCATCACCATCAGCAGCATGATCAGCAGCAACATCAGCAGCATCATCACCATCAGCATAATCAGCACCATCAGCATCACCATCATCATCACCATCATCATTAACATCATCACTATCATGAGGAGCATCAGCATTGGCATGATCATCGTCAACAAGATCATCATCATGATGAACAACCATATCAGCATCAACATCGTCATCATCATCAGCAGCATCACCATCATCATCGTGAGCATCATCATCATCATCATCATCAGCATCATCATCATCAGCAGAATGAGCGTCATCATCATCAGCAGCAGCATCAGCATCACAATCCTCATCCTTATCCTGATCCTCATCCTCATCATCCTCATCATCATCATCATCATCATCGTCATCTTCAGCATCAGCATCAGAAGCATCATCATCATCATCATCATCATCATCATCATCATCATCATCATCATAATCGTAATCGTCGACGTCATCATCCTCATCATCATCAGCAGCATCATCATCAACATTACCATTATCATCATCATCATCAACAGCATCAGTATCCTTGCTATCATCACCGTCATCAGCACCATAACCATCGTCAGCACCATCGTAATGGTCATAAGTGGTATTATCATTGACATCATCATACTCACCATCATCATGATGATCATGATCATCATCATCATCATCATCATCAGCATCATCATCATCATCACCATCACCATCATCACCGTCACCATCATTGTCGTCCTTGTGGTCCTACCCCGTACTCTTATCCTCGTCGTCTTCCGAGTTCACTGCTCTCCCCTTCCTCGTCCTTCTCGTGCTCCTCCTACTCTTCATCATCTTGCTCATGTTCGTCTTGCACCCCTCCTGCTTCTGCTCCCCCCCCGCAGCTGCCTCTCATTCCTCTCATTCAACTCCCTCCTCCCCCATCTTGCCTCCGCTCCTCCCGCCTCCTCCCCCA